TGGCATCGCCACTTAAGAAAAGACTTCAGGTGGTAGAAAAGCTTTTTCACAACCCAGGATCTGAGTCCATCGGGGACAGCCCTGGCGTTCCTACCCATGCTTTTCTTGGCATTGGCCAAGATCCCAGCCCTAGCTATCTTTAATGCTTTTAAAGATTATTTTCATGAGGAGAGATCAGTGGGAAGCTGGCATGCTGCAAAATAAATGCCAACTGCCAGCGTCATCTGTGTTTACCCGAATGCTTCTTGGACCTCATTAAAAAAGTCAAAATGGTCAGAGACTGTAGCTCAGGAGGGGTCTGGATGTTTGCCCATCTCCCCAGAAAAAAGTTGAAGGTTAGCCCCAACCGTAGGGAGCATCCTCGGATTCAGCAGGGTTCCTGCTAAACAGCTGTTTTGGGACTGACCATGCCCATTGCTGCATCCCCTTCCTGGCTGCCATTTTGTGACAGTGTCCGGGACATGTTTTCAAAATGCTTAATGTGCTGACCTGAAATAGAGATTTCTGCTCCGTGTGTCCTGGCTTTAGAGGGGACTGCTAAGGAATAAGGTGCTAGTCCTCATGGCTAATACCATCATACCATCAGAATGCCCTTTCCCAATGTATTGGGCAGCTCCTAGAGAGATGATAGAAGGAAAACTGGTAGAAGAAACTTTACGTTTCTAGTCCTTATGACTGCAAAAAAAAGTGCATGGTAACTTCGTCAAGGAATGAGTAGGAATTCTTGTGGTCCAAAATTGTACTTTTTTTAATGAGTCCCCATGGCTCAACGACAGTGAAAATGGCAGATTAAAGCATGCAAAATGAAATCGGGCAGAAATGCTTTATCTGTCTCGGATGCAGAAACCACAGAACTTGGGGGATTTGGCAGCCAAATTTAGATGTCGAGGTGGAACATCACCCTGATGCTCAGAACTCCATGACCTACTTATGTGCCACATGTTGCTCTCAGCAAAAGCCAGGTGCAATACTTCGGTGTTATAAATGATGGAAGATGAAACAGGTAAGGATTAATGGCCATTGCATTAATCACAGAATCCAAGGGTTGGGAGGGATCTTGAAGATCACCTAGTCCAACCCCTTCTGTTCTCAAAGTTGCCGCTTAAATTTCCCACAAATCTCCCCGTTCAGGGTACACCTAATGGCAGCAGTCATCCCGCTGGGTTGCCCTCTGATTTTGCAGAATGCCTCAGAGCAGCAGCGCACTAAGAGATTTGTGGGAAATTTAGGCAGCCAATCAGAGACCCAGAACAATGCTACCAAGTTACCCTAAGGAAGAAATGGGTTGGGGGCTTTTTGCAGGCAACCAACATTTGCTTCTCTCAGCCTTTCTCACTTCAGTTCAAAATGCGCTTGAGATCGACCCGGGCTGGTCTAGCTATTAGCAGGTCTATTGGGATATCAGGACGCTATGAGCATGGAGGCATTGCTGTGTGCGCAACTCTAGATCCTTTAGAGCAGGGATTCTCAACCTCAGCAACTTGAAGAGGGGTCAACTCCCAGAATTCCCCAGCCAGACTGTGAGTTCTAGTCCTGACATGAAAGCTGGCTGGGTGACTTTGGAGAGTCCCTCTCTCTCAGCCCAACTCACTTCACAGGGCTGTTGTGGGAAAAATAGGAAGAGGAAGGAGTATTAGGTATATTCGCTGTCTTGAGTTATTTATTTAAAAAAATAATAATAAAGGCAGGATAAAAAAAATTTTTTTAAAAAGGAGGAAGAGCAGGAGAGACACAGAACTGGATCTCCTAATGGTCTCCAGAAACCATAAGTCACCGTTTCCAGCAGGTCTGGCCAGCATGACCCATGTTGAGGGATGTTTGGAGTTGCATCTAGAAAGCTATCAATTCCCCAACCCCAAAAAAGCTTCTCAGATTCAATATGCAACAGCGGATGGGCTTCAGGATCCAAGCAAGATAAGAACCAACTCAGCGCCTCCCTCGGCCTTGATTCAATTTCAGGATCCCGTCCCTTCGCCTCCGTTGCCTCTAGGCGCGCTGTTTTGATTTCGATTTGATTTCTGCAGCCGAGGGCATTAGGGTGCCCCGTTATCTGTCCTCTTTGCTGATGCATGGATTAGCTGGCCGGCCCTGCGTGTTTACCACCAGTTATCAGCCCGTACTTTGGGTGTTATCAGAGGAAGCGACGCCTGCCGCCGGACCTGGTCTCTCGCCCTTTCTATTACGACCTGTCAGAGGCCAAGAGTGAGCTGTGAAACTGGGCAGCCGTCGCAGGCGTGCAGATAGTTTCTGAAGGCTGATCAAAGGGGAGCCCCAAACCCCCGATAACCGGGGAAGTGTTGTTGGGCTTTTAACTTTGAGAAAAACACTGGCATCAAACTCCCGCCCGCCCGCCTGCCCGCCTGCCAGCAGGATGGCGAAAACCAGGCCTGCGAAAACCCTACATATTCGGTTACCTAATTGTTGAGTGAAATGGCATGTGATCCAAGCGTCAAAGCTACAGCTATAATCTCATTCCGAGCGGGGAATGATTGAATGTCCGCCCGTCGCAGCAGACCTGCGGCATAATAGTCTCCAATATTTTTAATTTGTACTTTGAAGTGATCTGGAGTCCGCAATCTAATCTTTGCATTTAGTCAAATGTCAGGTTTTATTTTTTGAATTAGGAAAACAACTGTGAGCTAAGGGAATTATTTTTTAAGCTGTGTGTAGGATTTTGCTCCAGCGTCTCAGAACTGCTGCCCTCCCCTCTTTTGCTCCTCAATCTTAGGTTTGATTCCCTGGTTCTTGTCACCTTCAGGCCACTGCCAAAATCAACACACCTCAACAAGGCTGGCTAGTAATACCGCCCAGACCCCCCTCTGTGACATGGGGTGATGCCTGCCTTCCATTTTTAATTTAATTTACAACATCTCTGCAAGCCTGACATCCTTTTGCTTTGGGGTAAAATGGACAATTAGAATGACAAACAGGGTCATCCACAAGGGTGCTCAAAAAAGTCAAGACAGCAGCTTTGGTCATGAGGTCATGGTCACCATTTTGCCTTTTTTGACTCCCCCAGTGGATGTCCCTGATAACGAACTTCCAGCAGACAACGCCCTTAAAATTCCCCCCATCACTGCATCAGTGCTTTAGCCTACAAGATACTGGCCTGTTTTGTCAATGCCATGGCTTTTGGGAACTACTATGAGATGAGCAGATGTTTCTTGAAGGGCTATCAGAGGAAAGCCTTCTTCTTGCCAGTGTCTTCTGCTCCAGGAGCAAGCAATCTTTCAGTGTCCAGAGGCCTCACAGTTTGGTGGAGGGAGGAGAAAGGAAGCAATGGACGGGGCAAGGACCCAGTGCCATGCCAGTGGGCAAGCGGTGGGTGAGGGAGATTTCACCAGTAGAGGGAAGTAAGGGGTGAAGGTAATTACAGACCTTTAATTTGTTCCTTCTTCTGATTTTTTCCCCATGTGTGTAGTCCTTAGACCTTATGATGGACATGCTGAATTTTAGGTAGGACCAGAATAAGTTCTCAGTCATCCAGCCAGGATTGCATTGCAAGGGAAAGGATTGGATGGATTTGAACAATCTAGAGTCTCATTGTTGGGTGAGTCTAGAAGGTAAGCGCAGGGCATGAGACTCACCCAACAATGTCCACATTTCTCACTGCGATACCGCTTGTAACTCTGCCAGAACAGGGAGAACCTGGCGTTGGTTGTTCCTGCATTGGATTGAAAACAGCCCAAAACGGGACCATTTGATGACTAATTGGAATTGACTAGGTCCAGAGCAAAGGATTGTTGTTCATCTGTAGAGATCTGGAAGCTGGAGTGGCAAATACAACAGTCTGTGAAACTCTCCTCTAATTACTTTTTTATCAAAAAAGAAAGACTTTTTTCTAAGCATGGGAGGATTTAGATGCTAGATTTTGGAGAGCATTTTAATGCCGTGGTTTAGAATTGTTTTCTGCTCGTGGCTTATTAAAAACTGTTAGACTTTCTTGCATTTTTAATGTGGGGGTTTATTATTTTTTTAAGGTAGTACACCCAGAGAGTGTTCATTCTTAGGCTTATTTAAAATGGAATTAAACTGGTGTTCACAGATACAGTCTGGCAACGTTTTTATCTGTAACAGTGGGAGAAACTGAACGTGGGTGTTTAATTCTCCTCTTGAAATCCTGTTGGGGCTTGGCAGAAGCTTAAGCACATGTGGTCAGGAATAAGAGACATTTGGTGAGGCCCCCATCCTCCCTGAAGGGTGCTTCAGTTCATATTCTTAAAAATATTAAACATTTTTCCAAGGTGACAACTGTTGATTAGAGAGCACTTTGGATCTGCAGTCTAGATGCTGTTAACCAGATGCGCTCCAGTGAGATCCTCTAGGAATACTGAACGAAGTTCTCCTATGCATGTCTACTAGGACAGGGTTCCTCAACCTCAGCAACTTTAAGATGGGTGGACTTCAACTCCCAGAATACCCCAGCCAGCCATGAATTCCCCAATGCTGGCTGGGGAATTCTGGGAGTTGAAGTCCACCCATCTTAAAGTTGCTGATGTTGAGGAACCCTGTACTAGGACATATTGTACTGTTTTAAACTATTGGCAATACCTTTCTCTGCAGTGTATTCCCTTGGATTTACTTCTCGGTAGAAATGCAGAGGATTTCATGGCTGTGTGCTTGGCTCTTTCGGAAAGACCTAACCATCACGTCCTTTTGTGTAATGCAATCTGCTTTTCCTGTCCCATCTTCTCTTTTCTGTGTATGGTTTGATGCTTTAATTGATGCGGTTAAGTGCTCTTTTGGGGGGACGTGGTTTGCATTGCCTCCTTCCTGGGGCTGAGCGGGAGGGACCGGCCCAAAATCACCCATCTGGCTCCATGCCCAAGGCAGGACTAGAACTCATGGCCTCCTGGTTTCTAGCCCGGTGCCTTCAATCACTACACCAAGCTGGCTCTCCTTCAGTGCTTCGGATAAACGTTAATACAGTGGAGCATATTGGGATCGTAATGGTGAAAAGAAAAGAAATGAATATTCATCTTCCGTGGGTTCTCTTGCAGGGACCTTTGACCGGAGCATGACTCTCTTGGAAGTCTGCGGGAGCTGGCCGGAGACCTTTGGCCTGCGTCACTTGTCTTCCATGGAGCAGACGGATGAAGGCCTTCGGGAGAGGCTAGCAGACGCCATGTCTGAGTCACCCAGCCGGGACACAGCGGCATCTGGAACAGGTACAAAGGAGACGCGTGATCAGAAATCAGGCACCTCTCTTAGCCAACGGTGATTTCCTTTCATTAACTTATAATGTTCCATTCTTCACTGGATTTGTTCCTCTGGCTAAAGCCCACGGATGCCCATGTCTACCAGGCATTTCAGAGAGGCCCATAAGCCTATTTAAAGCAACGGAGGTTTGCTGCCAGTGTTCCTTTCCAGCATATTCATGGGAATCTCTAAGGAAAGGCACTTTTCTGGCCGGTGATGGCCCAGAACAGGCCTTGAAGCTAAAGAACAGATGTTCTGGAGACGCTCTCTGGGGTCACATGATTCTCAGGATGGAGGAAGTTTCCGACCTGCTCCTGGTTTCTAGCTCTCGGCCCCTGACCTCGACGGCTGTAAATGCTTCCGGATCAGGCTGGGATTTCATGGGGAAATAGATTCCAATTTGTTCTGTTTTTTTAAAAAGGACCCCCCGGATGTTTGCTCTGCTACTTCCTAACCACTGTCTTTTCTCCAGCCTGCTGGACTACAGCTCCCATCACTCCCCAACTAGCATAGCCAGCTCTGAGTGGAGATGACGGGAGTTCAGATCCGCCAAATCTAGAGACTGACATGTTGAGGACAGCTGCCTTAGCAAGTTCCCTGGGATTGGAAAGCTTTCTGGTCTGGGGGGTGACCAGATGGCTCCGTCCTCTGCCAGGTTGCTTCCTGAACCACAGCAGAAAGCTCCGCGTCCAGTTTCCTGACCATACCATACCTTGCATAAAGGAACGTAGAGGTCACCTTAGGGAAGGTATGAAAGAAGAGTTAAGAAGTGACTTGGAGAAAAGATTACCCCGAGATTGAAGGAAGTGTGAGAAAGAAACTCAGAATAACCCCACCTTGATTTTATTTTGTATAAGACAAGGGAGAGAGAAACTAAAACAGGGTTTCAAGATTGTATTATTCTACCCTCCAACAAGAAACTAGCATTCCTGGCATCCTGTGGGGTCTATTTCTTGACCTGACCTACCTCGAAGGGCTGGTATCAATCTCGAAAGCCTTATTATTAATATTACAACAACTATAACTTGTTATTATAATTGCAATTATCATATTACATTTAGATGTCACCTTTTTGTGGGGAGATCACAGCAGAATACACCTGGATTTCCTCTCATTACATTCTCACACCAAGAAGCCTGTGAGATGGGTTAGGCTGAGACAGTGAATGACTCAATGCAGGGGTGTCTGTCAGGATGGGTCAGAAAAGTCAAGATGGCACCTGTAACTGGACAATTGAAGCCCCACCCCTTTTTTACATGGCGCTTCATAAAAGAATAGGGCTTCCATCACAAGCTGTGACCACCACCTTGACTTTTTTTACCCCTCCCTGCAGAAGCTCCTGGCTTGAAGCCACCGAGTGGGCCACATTGTCAAGTGAGGAGCAGACTCTGCCTCTCCCCAGTTTCACTGTAACTACTAGGCTTTCTTGTAAAGATCAAAACCCTCAGACCCTTGAGGACTGCCTATAACTAACAGTGATGCTCAGACACCCACCCAGCCCAAGTCATTCTTCCCCTGCCCTGCAGTTGTCCTTGAGCCCAAGCATCTCCTTGAGATCTTTAAACTCAGGGTCCCGCTTTAAAGTTCACAGCTCCTTAGGATTCCTTAAGCCTGTGGTGCCCTTTCGCTGGCAAGGACTTCAGGTCCTAGAATCCCCAGCCCATCTCTGTCCACGTTGCTCGGACATTCTGGGGGTTGCAGGCCCAAACCCTTGGGCTGGGAGAGACCGATCTATGATATCTAGGCCAGCGCTGCATTCGGACGTCTCGCTTGGTTCAAATGGGTTCTTCTTCCTTCTCTCCCTTCCAGCATCTGGCTGCTTTGGGTCACGAAACCTAAGCCTTCCGCGAGCGTTGGCAGCTGTGATATTCCAATAAATGCTTACACTTATTACCATTAGCTGGTACAGTGACTTTGGCTCTGGCGCTTGGCCCTAAAATCACCACCCTTCTCCCCTGCACCCCCTTTGCACTCAGCCGGAACGTCACCCCACGTGCGCACAACAGTTGGCAGCAACGTGCAGATGAGGGTTGGGGTGTGTAATTATCTGTCTTCGACAAAGTGCTGGCTACCATAATCCAAATTAATCCATCTTCATCAGAGTCCATTACTGTGGTAAATTAAAGGGCCCATTAACATAAATGGTACGGCTCTCGGGAGATTATGCTCAAGAGGCCTTGGGGATACTGGAATGCTTGCAAATTGCAAATGCTGGCGGCTTTGGGTGGCTGGGATTGGTCTTAAGCAACTGCCCTCCCTCCCGGGAAGGAGCAAAAAGAATTCGGATTCCTGTCTTGAGTGTCAGGCTAAGGAATAGCAATACTGGAATCTATACTGGAACTACCTGGGGAAACGCAGGTAGATCAGGTCAAAAATTATCAGAAGAAAAGAAAAATAGAGGGAGGGAGGAAGGAAGGAAGGAAGGAAGGAAGGAAGGAAGGAAGGAAGGAAGGGTGTGAATGGATTCTAAATCATATGCAGAAGTCTGTCTTGCTATACCTTGGAAATTTTCTTCCTCTGCAAAAAAGGTTTTTTTTTTCTCTCAGGACGTTTGAGAATTTCTTTCAAATTTCTCTAGAGTGGTCATTTTGAGCATCCTTTATTATGAGGGTGGTGGTGGGTTCGCTAGGACTGATCATGAAGTTTTGTGTTACACATCTTTCCATCATACTGACTATATGGGGGGGGGGAACCACAAGATTGTAGTTCTGTTTTATTATCTTCCGTTGATATTTAATGGAAGCCCAGCAGAGAGAGGATTGTGCAGTGAAAGTCATCACACATTCTCTGGGCCGTTGTGTCACTAAGTATGTGCAAGAACATGATATTTATTTTATTTTATTTATTACATTTTTCAACCGCCCATCTCCCCCCAGGGTGTCTGCAGCAAGCCCAGATTGTGAGAATCAGACAGCAGTGGAATAGAAATGCAATAAACGGACAAATAAATAAATTAAAGAGGTGAAGCGTGCATTATGACATCACCTCCACCCTTCACATACGTGAGTGAGACATTGTGATGCCTGTATGAAAGTGTCTGGCTTTGCATCACCATATCACGGTCCGACTTCCATCGTTTGCCTCCTCTTGTTCCCCCGTGATTCTATGCACGAGAATGTCACTGAAATGTTGAAAGCAAATTCTCTTTCCCTGAATGAGAACAGGTAGAAAAAGATGTCAGGAGAATGTCTGTGTGCTAGTTCCAGGTACTTTCAGTGGGGCCACTTGGGTAGGACTTGAAGTCACAAGCCAGGATCCTTTTTCAGAATGACTAGGAGAAAGAAGAAAGAAGAAATAAAGAAAAACTGGCACATTTTCAAATGAACGTAGCTGTGGTCTTTACTATTTAAAAAGTACTCCACTCCACAAGACTCTCCAGTCCACAATCTGGAATTTCTTAATTTCTCCACTGGCTATCTCCCTGTGTGCCAGATAACAGGGCATATTCTTTAAAATAAAGCCAGATTTTTAAAAAATCCTGTTGTTTGCCTGTCCAGATACAGCCTTCCTTGTTAAAGAGAGAAGGTTTTTCAAAAATCAGAGAGGAACGAATTGGACTTTCAGTTTCACACGCGCTTCTATATATACCGTAAGCACAAAATAACTCCGGATGCTGGCGCTAAGAGGGAACCAGATAGAGGAATAGGAAATGATCCATAGTGTAGGGAAAAGGTAATTTTATCCCTTCCGAGGAATCGAAATAAATGGGCACTCGGGACTCAAAGGAAGCTGCCAATGGAGAAACAGACCGCTCACAAGCTCTGCAGAACCTCACCGTCTCCAAGAAAAGGCTAGATTTACTGCAACTTCAGATGCAACACAGCTGCATGAGAGAGAAATGCGCTCGCCTCTTGAACGCAGCCCACACTAGGAGAGAGGTCTGAGTGGCTTTTAAACGGGCAGATTCTTCATGTGGAAGTGCCTTCAACAGTGTTTCTCACCCTTAGCAACTTTAAGACGGGTGGACTTCAACTCCCAGAATTCCCCAGCCAGCATGGCTGG